AGGTCTTCTCCTGGTATTTTCTCTCTCACTCGTCTGTTTTCCTGCCACCAGCTATCCCACGCTCTACCCAGCGAATCCTTACTACTCATTCTCCCCCCGTCAGTTAAGAGAGTCCCACTCATCAACTTATCTCTGGGACACCACTTCACACCCTTGACTCACCACCCTTAACCCCACCGGTGATATTGAGATTTCTTCGCTCGGTCTGCCTCATATCTACAACTCCCTACTCTGCGTGAATCCCATTTCGTCATGTCAGACCTAGAGAACGATGACGAACTCGGGCCGGTCACGGCCACACTTCATGGGCGTGACGTAGAAGGACTGGTTGAGAGGGTCCTGGCAGCCGGAGGGGATGAGGTTGAGGGTTACAAGCTGAAACGTGCGAGGTACACTGTCGAAGAGGCCGTAGAAGACTCTAGCACGGAACTGAGACAAGAGCTGGTGAGGCTGTCATCTATTCTCCCCAATGGACCCCCCATGAGAGCGAGGAGGATTCAAATGCATCTCCGAGAGTTTGTGAAGCTCCACAAGCCGAACTTGAAGAATCCCGAGAAACAGCTGGGTGAAGGGAAGCTTCAAGGCAAGGAGCGGACCAAAGAAGGTATTGTTGGTAAGTACATACATATCCATCTCAAAGCCTGAGACTGCACAGACAGTAACGGAGGGCTGCTGATCCTATGAGTGCTCGGCCTGTGTTGCCCAGATCGACTGAAGGACTACCTCACCATTCGAGTGCTTCAATCCAAGAAGCGGGACAAAAAGACCTTCCAGTTCCTCGTCAATCCTATCACTGGCAAGCCTATCTATATGACTATCCATGGATTGGAGCACTATCTAAGGCTGGCTTTATATCTGGTGGGCTTGCTTTGACTTGTTTTTCTAAACTTTCCGCATACATAGGAATCTTCAATGAAATCGCTGACCAGGCAATCCTGCCCCAACTGGATTTGTTTTTCGACAGCTGAATCTCGTACCTTACCCAAAAATGACAGCAGCAGAGCTCTTTGATGCTCGCAAGGCCCTCCACGACGTGAATAGCAAGACATCGATGCCCTCAGTGACTGCCCTTGCCAGGACAACAGCGCTGACGCTCGATTGATTCCACACGTGCAGCATGCGGAAATCCTGATCCAGACCTACGGCCTTACCCAGAGGAAGCGGAGAAAGACAACGCTTTATCCGTCTGATGTGCGAGCGTTGCTGGAGATTCTCTATGAGAACTCGGGGTCTAAATGGGATGTGGTGAGTATCTTCATGCCCATAGCTGTAGCTGCGATCACGGTATTAGCATCAAATCTGACTGATTCGTATCGCCACGCAGATCGTTCAGAATGCTGCTCTACTCCTGTCGTTCATGTATCTTGGGGCGAGACCGGGATCCTTCCTCAAGACAGCGCACTGGCCGAAGCACTATGCTCGGTGGAAGGTTTGTTCGGTTCAGTCTGGGCAGCCCAAACCTGCAAGGAGCAGCAGTTAACCCGTCTTACCACCTCAGGATATCAAATGGAGGCCAGTACGTGATGGGCAAGGCACTATCATCGGCTACGACCTATACTTCACCGTCCGCTCATTTAAAGGGTACCACATGCTGCGCGATCTGAAGTAAGTTGATCTCACCACCCTGGTCCACGTGAAGATCGCGCACTGATAATGAACACCATGCGTTCGCTTTTCCCAACAGTATCACCTTCCTAATCAAAACGATCAAGACTGCGAAGAACGCTATATTGGACCTGGGTGTGACCCTCTTGGCTCATGGCGTACGACAAGGCGTATTCGGGGAGAAGACTATCGAGCAGCTCACGACTACCAACCTGTTCGAGTTCAAATGTGACCCTCGATACGACGAGGAGCCCATCTTCAAGGGCAAGAGATCTCGGAATGGGCTGTCCGCAGTCAATCCGATGCGCGACGAACACGCCAATACCCTTCTAAGAGAGCTAATGAATAAGCTAGGTATCGCGTGTGGTCAGGGTGAGTCCATGTCGAGATGACACATGATGAGCTGTAGCTAATGATCGTTCACCCTCTCCCCTGTCCTCAGGGGGATCTGATACCGTGTATTCCCTGCGAAGGGGTTACGCGACTACAGTCGGCAAAAACCTCGACGCCCGCACGGCCATCTTTCATATGGGGCAACGAGCCAACACGACGATGTTCACCGACACCTACGATCAAGGACACGAGACAGCCGACATGACGGAAGGCGTTCATGGTCAAGAAGAAAGGGATTCGGAAACTCGAGTGGTGACCCCGTTAACGCTGACCAGGTGAGTCTATTTGAACGAAAGGCAGTAGTGAGCCTCACTGATTTTTCGCGTGCTTCCCTCGACCTGAACCAGATATGAGCCTGGGACTGATCTGCCTACAGTGACTCTCAAGCAAGCTCTCAAGGTACATCCTGCCTATCTGCATACCAAAGCAAAGCTAGACTTCGTTCAGCATTGCATTCGAACTGGATCGTCGGAATGGCAGACAGTCTCGCCGGTAAGTAGCCTAGCAAAAATCGCTTCGCCTGCCATGATGACTGATCCTTGATCGTTCTTTGGGTTCTTGTTTGGCTCCATCTCCTTTCACTCTTCTCAGTATAAACAAGAATTCAAGAGCGGGCAGATGACTTTCGGCGACCTCGTTCTAATCAGAGCCAAGTACAAGTTCCGGCTCAAGCAGATTGTCCAATCCGTCAAGACCGGTGAATACGAAAACTTGCTGGCTAAGAAGCAGGCTGCTTCTGATGAGCAGGCTTACGAGCTTATCATGAAGAGGCGAGAAGACGCGAACAAGCCATCGGATCTCGCTGCCAAACTTCAAAAGAGGCTTATTGACGACGAGAGAGCTCTCATCAAGGATCAGAACGCGGGCTTCGATTCAGCAGACCTGGAAGAGGCAGTGATCGTTGGAGGTGACTGGGAAGACGAAGAAGGGGACAACGACGCGGACGACTACGACTACGAGGCAGAGGACGAGGACGAGGACCAGGACGACGGCCAGATCGAAGGGAGTGGTACTCACGATTCTGAGGCTCCACACGGCAACCAGGAACAGGGCGGGGCAGCTCAACCGCCCAGTCAAGACGTCGAGCAGGGAGAGGACGATGTCGACACGACTTTGGTCGAAGATCCAGACGCAGTCACATCCTCCACCGATCGAGTTGCCACGAATGCGGAAAGGGAGCGGATGGCACAGCTTGAAAAGGCTTGTGACAAGGAAACGAACGAGGACTTGCTTTCCGCCTCGACGTCTGCTGATCCACCACTGGATTCGACCACTGCTACGAGTAGCTCTACTCTCTTATCCGGTCACGGTAAGTGGGGTGCTCGTATTGGGAACTGCAGTCCATGCTAAGTGACTGTCACTGACGACCACGTGTCTCATCGTTGATCTGACAGCTTTCATGTCGGCCACCGAGCAGAAGATGACTCTCCTTCGGTAAGACAGATACGCGCTTCTGTGCAAAGAGGTCTCTGCCACTCATGCTGACCAGTCTCTCATCGTTTGCTCATGTGCCAGGACGTTGTGTACCCTGAAAGATCCGAACAGAGGTGATCAAGTCTGCCCGCTTTGCGTCAACGACGATACTACTGATGAAGGCGAGAAAACTCGTGTATGGCGAGCTGGGCAACGATTCGAAAAGCACAAGATCACGTTCCATAGCCCGTACAGATACGCCCTCAGATGGATCAACTCTCACGTATCGTCAGGTACGCTTGCGCACCGAGCCGTCATATGGTTGGGTTGCGGAACACACGCTGACGGCCTGTTTTTCTGCGACGACCAAAGGCACCTTTACGTGTCCGTTCCCTGTCGACCCTTCGTCCTCAGCAGCGTCCTCGGCGTCTTCGAATCTGTCAGAGCCCCATACTGTCCAGACATGCGGGAAAACTTAGTACGTAGCGATATCGCATGAGTCTCCAACGTTGTATTGATTGTTAATGAACCCTCACAGCTTACGAAACTCGTCCCGAGATATCAAGAATCACTGTCTGCGGTACCACGAAGCTCACCTCTCGGGCACCCTGAAAATCGGCCTTGACCCCACGACAGTACAGGATCAGCTTGACCAGGCAAAGGTTCAGATGAAGGATTTGATTGGTCGTGAATACGAAATTCGTGCCAACTTTACGCATGATCCTCGTACATATCTGGTTCCTGGGACGTTAGGGGAGCTGGATCTGGTGACCCCTGAGATGGCCCTGCTTGGGATGGGAGCTGGATTGCACGGAACAAACGACTTATCTTTTGAAACGACTGCACTCGACATGACCAATTTTGATGAGGATGGTCTGATCAAACAACGTTTAGTATAGAATCGCTCCCCGGTAGTCAAGTTGTTGTACGATACATCGGGCCCTGATCATGATACCCTCTCACCCTTCTTCTCCTCATGTACAACTCCCGATCGCTGATACCATTACCAAGTCACGAATTCGAGCTGGTCTCCTATATTCACATGCAGTCCTCATGCCGAATCTTATCAGTCCATGTTTGAACTGCCTGTCTATCGATCCACGGTCACTCTTCGTCGATTGACGGTCACTGTCCTGTCGATCCACGGTCACTGTTCTGTCGATGGACGGCCCTGTTCCTGTCTGTCTATACATGGTCATTGCTGTATCCCATCCATTCCCATCACTGCTTAGCGCTACGGACATCTCAGCTTGATGCATGGTCGGTTACGTGCGGAATGAGAAGATAACGCGCAGCCGGAATGACTTATTTGCGCGCCGCTGGAATGGAATACAAGGGTTCTATTGGGCGCTTGACAGTCCACTGTAACCGCTCTCACAGAATACCTCAACTGTACCTACAGAATGAACGTGCCGCAGCTAACAGCTGGTAAGTGAATGGGTACCGCTTATAGTAGAGTATAGTGCATTGTTCGATACGATTGATTATACACATAGCGATCATACTAGCTCGAGCCGGATTATCTTGATGAGACTGAGACGAAGGGAACATCTCGATATATAATGTACAGTTATAGTCTTGTTTTAACCGCTCTTGTGGCTCAGTGGTTTAGAGTACGCCTTTCGTAGAACGATTACGACTGTAGTCAGCGTGAGGGTGGGGTCCCAGGTTCAAATCCTGGCTGGAGCAGGTGGTTGCACTATTCTTTTGGACAGTCTTTTTAGTATATTTTTTCAGGGCTCTGGCTCCTCGGACATCAACCATACGAGCCCATCGTTCAGTCACGCGGACGAGAGGAAAAGAGACAGGAATACACCCCACCCAATCCACTAACAGTCCTAACCTAGATATTAATAGCTCATCAACAACACGAATCACTTACCCATCCTCCCAACATCAACCATCTACCATCCTATCATCGGTCGTATCACCATACCTCATTTACCCAATACAACATCGTACCGTCAAGACACAATGTCGTCAGAACAGGGGCCAGTCCCGAATTTCCACCCCCCCCCAGCCAGACAGCACAGGCAGACAACGGCGCCTAAAGACACGCCGCACGTCAGTATCTATGACTCAATCACCATCATCGTTTACCCGTCCGCTCAAGACATCGGTACTCTCAGCGAGATGGAACAAAAGGTGGACGACGTCGTACAGAGGACCCCAAAAGTCATGCTTCGATTGTGCGACGACCTAGATACTGTGGAGGAGCTCTGCGACAAGTTCGTACTTCAGCAGGTTCGCAACTCACCCCGAAGCCCCATGACCATCACGCTTCCATACGACTTCCTGCAGAAGTCACACACACTGCATTCCTTCATCTGATAGAACTCATGAGGCCGCTTGAACAGGCAGGCATCGAAGGGCACTGGCAATCCTGTCTGACAATGATGTATCAACCTCGGCCAACTACACCATCGGGTTCCGCAACGAACCCCGGAACAACGACAGTAAGTTTCGCATGCGACTTCTAAACAGCGCAGCCCAACAGTTAGGTGTGATGATCTCTGCATATCTCTGGTACGGGGGACCTACGGCCATCGGTCGAATCCAGTTCGTTTTCCCAGACTATATCGATGCCCTTGTTCGAGGTACACGCCTGGGACTAATACCAAAGGGACCAGGCTATGGCATATGCAAAGCTCCGTCAGCTACACCCGACCCCACCCACACACTTTTACCCCCGCCACCATCTACCTTCACGCCTTACACTAAGAAACCGTCGACAAGGCTTCCGGCTCGGGACATTATTGAAACCAATCTACCACCGCCATCGCAACCCACCGTATCTGAAGATCAGCAGAAACTCAACCGACTGATCCAACAGGAGCAACGCGAGTTCAGAGGGCGTTTCAAGAACAGGGTGGATCCGCAAAGGGAGGAATTGGTTCAACAGATTAAAGAATCGGAGGACTCCATCAAGGCCCGCTCCCAGCAATCCCATGCCGCCTCCAACCCCATGAACCACCAAGAGTCATCGGGCATCAGCAATCTTAGGCAGCAAGACCAACAGCAACAACAAGGGCAACAGCTACCGCAACAACGAGATGACTTCCCACCTCCCGAAACGCCTAGGTTTAGGGGAGCAGAGATCGAAGCTCAGCGACAGCGTGAAGCTTTCGCCCTCACTCCAGCCGTAACGCGAAGAATCAGCAATATGTCGCTGAGCCAAGGAGGTGTTTCTCCCTCCTTCCGTGGAACTCCGGGCCACTATACTGACAGCGAGCACGAGTTCGGCGACGACGGCAACATGGCCGGTACCGGGGACGACGCGGGTACCAGGAAAAACTGGCCGACCCGCCTTACGACCCGCACCCTTGACTCGAGCGAGCAAACGGGCGCCGAGGAACGTCCCCTGAAAATGATCAAAGTAAGTAATATGTCACAATCGCTGGAACCTCTACTGACCTTCGCAGACCACAAATTAGCTAGCGATGGACAAAGCACCCCTCAGAAGACGCGGGCACCTACCCACCGGATTGTCCATCAGGTTTTAAAAGGGATTGTACTTAGGTCGTGTCCCACTGCGCTACACTCTCTGCATATATACCCTACACGAGTAACAGTCCCTCCTCTTCTCATGTCTCATGACGCGATGCATCACGACTATACCCACGTTTCGGCTAACGCAGGCTATGACTCAAACGTTAACAACCAAGCTTTCCGCTTCTGCTTCTGTACATTGGCTACACTTTTGCTTCTCATGCCCACAAGAGCTGGCGCGCCTCGACAGAGCAGCTGGAAGTGCGTGACACCGTTGCTTATGGCGATAGCTATAGCGCTGCTACCAACAGCAGACGCCTCTCCTGCCTTAGCAATCCTGACAATCAACTGCCACAAGCTCTCGCCATATGACACCGCCAAATACATGAAGATCATCGACATCATCCTAGAATTAAGACCCGCGATTTTTGTCCTGTTCGAGGGTTACGTCTTTGATGGCACGCCGGGCACCCTATCTACTCAGCTCAGTAGGATATTCAACTTTTTCCACACCGAACCCCAGTCCGAAATGACAGGCCAAATCGCTGGCGTTATACACGATATACCGAGTGCGGCGCAGACCGAAGTCGACACGAATGGGGAAGGAACATACTCCCGTTCTATATCTACCTGCCGGAAATCCCAGGCAGCCTTAAAACGCACCCACACAGTTTTATACGCACCACACTTCTACAACTCGCAGGATGGGGACCTCATCATAAGTAAGCCATACTGGGAGACCGTTAAAAATGTCATCGCCGAAAACAAGAGGTGGGTTATCACTGGGGACATGAACATTGTATTGGCGACACACGAGGCGACACCCGGACGTGAATTGACGTATGCCACTGCCGATAACAACTACTACCAACACTTTTTGCATAAACCGGACGGGGTAATAGATCTACTCGAAGACTGGACTAGGAAAACTGCACCACGCAGAAACCAGATATAGCTGTCCATCAACGATCGCACGGCGGTCCGACCTGACATCCCAGCGGGCAGTATAACCACCCTCGATGAGGTATTAGATGCGAGGATGGACCATAGACCCATACTGTCACAGTTTGCAATATCAAAACCGGGACAACCAGCCTGGTGGTGTCAAAATTACGTAACCTCATAGATACTGCATACGTGTAACGCTCCCTAGTTCGCTTACTTGATAACTCTCTGTACTATCTACTCTTCCTGTGCTTCCTCATCGCTCTCTTCCTCAGTACAGATTCGTACAGGTGTAACCATGTTAGACGCATGAGACTCATCAGACCTCCGGATAACAGCGAATGTACGGACAACTACGGAGAAAGTGATTCAATGCCTCACAGAACACCCAGAACTAGCGACCCCGATAACATCGAGCATTCAAATCGACGACATACTCGCCCGAGTTAGCCAGGGCCAGGAATTTACCTCCGCTTGCGAAACGACATTCACACGTCCTGTCAATAGAGCACCCAAGACATCTGCAACACCCTTCGTGCCCGAAGAGGAAGCACGCATGTCAAACCTGCTGGGAATAATCAGAAAATGCAGGATCGCCACGAAAAGCGAAACTGCGTGGAGAACATTCTCCATAAGGGTCCCGCCATGGGACTAGAACCAACCTGATGAACCTTGTTCCACCACCATACACACTTGTCTTACCCCTCCCCTTCTTTCACGACTGCCGCAGTCTTAGACAATAGGTGACTCAGCCGCGACGGCTCCGTTTCAGCCGCCACCTTGTTCTTCGCTTCCCATCTTCGTCTCCATTAGCCACCTTCGTCCGCTGAGAAGATATATAAACCCTTGTAGATTCATAGGTAATCTCTGTCTCCCCAGAGACAGAACATCATATGTTACTTGTCTACTAAATTCGTCAACACCCCCGCCAACTTTCTCCATCGTACTAGCTTTAGCTTGCTTCGTCATCAAATTACCTCACCCGTTGGCCTATCTTCGTCAACGACTCATAACAACCGGAGGCTGTTGAAACTCGGTCCCAGAGAAACGAGATTACAACCGCAAACCAGTATCGATAAATGGCACACGCAACTAGTAAAGGACTTGAAAGAAGCTAGAAACAAGAGGGCGGAGGACAGCAAACGCAGAGAGGCGGCCCTAAAAACATCAACTGCCCTGACCAGCGGCTCTGCTGAAAAGATCTTTCCCAATCAAAGGATCCACATTCCGCCGATCGTCAAACTACAAGACGTCACCCTACCAGCAGACACCGCCGCGTTCATGCCACGAGGCGTGACTAATTCGTCGTGGTCGGATGCAGAGTATCTGGCAGCCTGGTCGCCCCATGGACCTTGCGGTCAAGAGCAAGAGCAGTCAGTTAGGTAGTAGACACTCATCCTGACCCACCGTCCGGTCGGATCCCTGCTTTTCGTTCGCCACAGACTTCAGCAAACACCTCGGCCAACCCTACCGGCTGGTCTCTCCTACCCCGCAGCCCCTCAGCTCGAGCCTCGGGAGCCACGCCGCGCCGACCTCGCCCTCTACCTCGCTTCCATCTGCCCCTCAGACTTTGCCGCCAGCGGGCACAAAGAGACCGACAACTCTGCCTCAAACCCCAAAGCTTACCGCCCGAAGAGTAATCTAAACTCGCTACCTGGGACTTAGCGAGAGCTTACATGAAGTTCCTCACAGTCAGCATAGTACCAACGGAAGGATCCCACTTGGTGAGCGAAAGAAAATAGGAAAGAAGATACACGACCTACGGGCAGCGCCGATTAGACAGGCGATAGCAGCTAGATTTGACGAAGTCGGAAGGGATATCTGGAGGAAGGGAAAGAAGGATATCAAACTCACAGGCAGACGGCCGAAATGTGCGACAGACGCCAGCGTCACACCGACACCCAGGGGACAAGAGCGAGACGTGGGCTTTGAAGTTGTCGGCGCGGTGAACATTTCGGCATCACTCACGGATAAGTACGCGACTATCCACTTTGCAGGACGAAGTCGATTCGAACAACACTCAATTCAAGGCAAACTTTGCGCTTCCTGCTCAAGCTCCTTCTCACGGCGTCACGGGGAGACCATGGCACTGGTTGTTGGCATCTTCGCTGATAGGCGAATCCGAGACCTCATCGAGCGGTCGTCAGCGACTCACACGCTAGGCAACATCGATTTTACAATCTGGGCAGACGACCTTAACGCTGTGAACCACGCGTTAGCGCTGGCGGCCGGCCGAGCCCCAGGAGGGAACACGT